ATATTTGTAGTCTTGGGAAAGAAGTGGAAAGACAAATTTTTATGACAATGGATACATAAATCATAAATTTAAGGAAAATAAATTCTAGAACTTTTTTTGTACCTTGTGCATGTCATTCATTAAATTTAGTTGTAAATGATGCTGCCAAAGTAACAGTTAATTTTTTAACATTGTACAAGAAGTACACATTTTTTCTGCATCCCCTTATAGATGGGACATACTAAATCGTAATATCACTAGTTTAACATTAAAATCTGTAAGTAATACAAAATGGGAGAGCATAATAAAAATATCAAATATTTTAATGGATTTTTTTAAAACTCCTGTCAACTATACAGAACTATCATAAAAACATACCAGTAAACTCCTATCGGTTGGGTTAAGTTATAAATCTGCTCACGATTCATATAATAGGGTGAGGGCAGCCAAATATCTAGTAGGCAGGCAGCTAGCAGTCCAGAACCGATTCTGGATAAAATCATTGGAAGCATTATATAATATTTTGGTGAGTAGCATCCACCAGCTAAACTGCATGAGGTTGGTCTCTGTAAAGCACATGTGCGAATGCGTATAATCTGGCTGCTTGGAAGCTGTCCTGTATTCGACAATATAGTGCTTCCATTCTGCCACTGATATTTGAATATACAATAACAATCTTATTGTTTCTTTCACATGTAGTAGAGAAATTTGTAATAAGACACATAATGAGGTTATAATAAAATATTAATTTTAATTAATTCAAAGTAAGTTAAAATATGAAAATAATTGCACAATATGTCTTTATATTTTAGAAAATACAATGGAAGCAGTGCTTCCACTGCTTCCAAGGACGGCACACCACTGGTAATTTTCCTCTTATGTGCTTAGGATATATAAAGTTTCTGTCAGCTTTGTTGTACACACCTACAGCATAATATAGGATCTTGTAACATACAGTCTATTTATATGGGGTTAAATAACATATTTTCCTGCATGTGCAGGAAATCCGTTGTTTGTGATATAATGAATTCTCAGAACAACAAATGATTTTTGGTAGCCCAAGCAGTCATTAAAACAAGATTCTACTGTAGTATTAATAAGAATTGTATGAAGAGATTCAAGCAGACTGATATGATTGAGGAGAAGCTATCTAGTGAACATTCTGACACTAGTCCAAGTGTAGAGCTGAAATTTAGTGAGGACATTAAATGTTTCCAAGTTGTGAAGACTTTCCTGATGAGTTTCAGCATAAAAGATCAGGCTGTACACTCATTGCTAATAAGAAGTGGTTGTTGTATTCAATAAACAGAAAAGCAATCTTAAACATCTTATCCAAGATGGATAAGATGTTTAAGAAATTGTGAAGTCAAGTGACGTGCTAATGAGCATATGTAATTTTCAATGGCATGCCATGACTTTTGATGATAGGGAAGCTGTGTTTCTGTAAGAAGTCGACTTCCAGGAGCAATCAGTTAATTGAGTGTCGGTGATGGTGATGGTCTAGGGTCCATTCATATTCGTTTGTTCGATAAGCCAGTAAAAACCGTAGACTTCTCTAAATATATTTTTAATATCTCAATTACATTCTGAATAACTAGCCATGATATAAGGGCTAAAATTAAAAATAAAATTATAAAAACTTACTTTTTATAATTTTATTTTTAATTTGGTGAAATAAAATGTGTGGTGGATGTACATACCTGGTACAAAATATTCTTCAATTGTATGAATATACTTTTAAACAAAATTATAATTAAATATAGCTTTGTAAAGAAANTACAGATGAACAATGATTATAGTCATAAAAACAAAACAAAGTTTACTGAATAAATTAAATGAATAAATAGAAACAAATTTAAAATATTTAGAAATTATAATTCAAAAGAACACACATAAAAATTTTAATCACTCTTAACAAAAGTCTTGGAATATAATTGTTCTAACAAGCATTCCTTTAATTTAAACAGTTTTTAAAGGTGATGTGGCCATTGAAAGAAGGTCCAGTTGACAAAAATTCACTTAGTGGTGATATATTTCTTTTGGATAAGATTAACAGCAAGTAGGTATAATTACATCAGAATTTGTGATGTTATTCATGTTTAATAATATTTGGCTGTTAAACAAGGCAAATTTCCAATCAATTATTGGAAAAGTGACTAGTATAAATTGAATCTACCTTAATTATGATTGTCAGTAACTGATGTAATGTCCATAATGTGAATCTGATGATGTAAAAATAAAAATTTTTTAAATACACTATGATAGATTCAAAATTTCTGAATTTTTATTCATTTGGAAACATATCTTTGCATATATTTCACTAAATACATACAATTATATGAATTGAGAAGACAGACTTGTTCACACGTATTACATTAAACAATTTTTCAAGCAGATACAACTTGAAAAAAATTTCTCGGGTTTGCTAATAACAGAAATTTTTATTCTGGCAACCAAGTATATTATGAATAGAAAGAGGCGAATTTTTTTATTTCCTTTATTTTTTGACACATTCTCCACTCATATTGATACATTTGTTGTATCACTTCACTAGGTTAAAGAAATCTATCTCACAGAAGTCCATGTCCTGCATATAAGAAAGTTTTGAGTGGCTTCTTCCAATTAATTGCTGGTGAAATGCTGCTCTCCTTGTGCCTTCTTCAAAGCAGAAAAGATGTGGAAGCCACTGAGAATGAGATCCAAACTGTATGAACAACAGTTATAATGTTCCCACCAAATTTGATGACAGGGCATATTGCTGTACACTATGTGGGGTATGACATTATCAAGAAATGTGACCTCTAAACTGAGAAGGTCTTGCCTCTCATCAAATGTCAGATTTTAGTCTTGTCAATGAGTTACACTAGCTGTTGGCATTTACAGTTCCAGCAACAGCACACCTTTGGCATCTAAGAACACCGAGAAGAATCTTGCTTGATAATTGAACCATTTTAAACTTTTTTTGACTGGAAATTGGATGCTTTCAATCCATTAAAACAAATTCTGATTTTATAATGATGTACTACTGTTTGCCATCTTGTTCTTTGCATAATGAGCTAGTACATTCTACACATTCACAATAACTTTTGACTGCTGTTGCTCATACATAAAATGTGTCCTTACAGTGGAAACACACCTTAAAAATAATGATGTATCTACAGTAGACCCCTCTATAAAACGAGTTCATATAATACGAATTCGTATATAACGGTGAAAAAATTGCGATCGTATTCGTATAAATACACTAAAAGAGACTCGTATGATATGGTAAAATGTCATCACCGACTTGTGTCACGACAGGATTGGTCGAATCTAGACCAATAGTGGATATTGCACAAACCGTTGAGTTTAAACAAGCAGCGGACCTACTAAAAACCATTTATTATTTAACAGCCATAAAAATTATATTTATATTAATGATGTCTCCAAAGTTCAGCAAATTTTTAGCAGAAAAATAGTTTATCAGAAAACATGCACCCGCTGTCCGATGCACTACTCCATGACGAAAACAAGCTTAAGCAATGACGTCGTCGAACGGTACACACTTGGTAAGTAATCCTACAATTTTTTGTTTATAGCATAGTTTATATGGATTATTCCCAAAAAATTATACGTGTTTTGAAAATATTGAGTCAAATTAGTCTAAAATCGATTAATTTTATGGAAGAAAACCTTTCAAACAGCTGTAGTCAGTAAACTGCCTATGTGCTAGGCTGTGATTGGCTCATGTATTTAAGGACTAGTAAAACATGAAATTCATAAAACACGAAACGTATCTACCATGTTATAGGGGGGGTCTACTGTACTTGTACTGTACATGCTATTCTTTTTACCCTATTAGTGCACTAGCTCCAAAAATATGGATATGGAAAACTTATTTTTGAACCATCCCACATTTCAAAAACTACATATTAAGCATGATAAGGAATGGTGAGTTAGGTTTTTAAATCTGTAATTCTGTTATGACACAATTTCTAACAAACTATTTCTATGTTTGCATCAAAGAAAATAAGGAAAAGATTTCAAAATACAAAAAAAAAACCAAATTTAGAAGTTAAGGCTAATTCATACTTTATGAGAATGAAAAAGAGAAGAGAATGTATCTTTTCTCTCTTCCATTATTCTCTTCCCTTAAGTGTTCTTACTTCAAAAGAACAAAAGAGAAATGCACTTGTGTTTTTGGTACCTGCAGTTTAAAATAAAGCTTTAAAAGTGTACCTGAGTTGTCATTCTTTAAAAATGAGAAAATATGCAGTTAATTAATTTGAGAAAAGAGATCAGAGAATATTTTAATTTTTATAAAAGAAATTAAGGAAAATTATCCCAGAATGAATTTTCAATATTTTAAGTAAGTTTTAAATATATACAAATGTGAAGATAACATCTTTTCAGATTTGATTAACATAAATAATATATATATGCGATAAACCAAAATTCATTGAAAGATAATTCTGCTCTAGTTCTAATAATAAATTTTATTAGTCAGGGCTACCAACAGAGAGAAAAGTAGAACTTACATCAAATTTTCTCTTTATCCAAAAGAGAATGGAAGTATGTCACTAGTGTGTGAAATATTGCACACTAAACCTATTTACTGTTGTTTTTCTTTTCTTTTCCACTCTCACAAATATTAAATGACTTTTTGAAATCACAACATAACCATTACATTTCACCATTTTTATGCCATCAAAATCAAATCCAAAATTCTCAAATAATAAATTACATCTTAAGAAGTATTTTATAAGCCAAAAAGTATTTAGAAAATTACATTATCTTTCAACATTTTATATAGTGAATATTAACTGTATAATAATCAATATACTGTATATGATGATTCTAACCCATGTTGCAAGTTGAAGAAAGATACTTCAACTTCAAAAAATTAATATAAATTATAGAGAATTTTTCCAATAATTTTTCCCTATGAAAATATAAGTATAGAAAATCATATATAGTACCAGAAATACCTGGTATTTCATTCTGATACTTCTGGTACTATATATAACACATTTAAAACTTACCTCTTTTTAATGAAAATACTCTATTTTCCAGCACATCACATGCATTTGTTCCAGGTGACATTAAATCTAAATGTGTTAATATTCCAATTGTTCTTTCTCCTAAAATATAGTTACATTAAAAAATTAAAATATTTAATTGATATAATATAACTGTTATATTAATTTTTATTGTAAAAATTTAAATGATTTCAAAAATAGTTTTATATTAAATAAAATAAAATTACAATGGAAACAAAGACAATTCTTTTATACCTTAAACAACATTTTCAATTACTATTTCAGAATTGATTGATTACTTAATATGAAGACCAAAATATTAATAAGTTAAATAATCAATCACATTTATGCTTATTATGGGCCAGCCTGTACCACAATGAGATCAGTCATTATGAGTGAAGGAACAAAGTACAACATCAACCCATACTACTCACGATAAATTCTGAGGTCTAAATTGAATTTGAATTTTATGGTAATTAGGCTGTGTGAGAAATCTGGCAAAGCAATCTGGACTGCATGATCATATTGCTAAATATATTTAAGAATAAATATTTAACTATTTTAAACATTAGTCTTAGAATATAAAAATAATTAATGAAAGTAGCAAACATTTTGAAAAATTGTATAAAATATGATGTTTTCAATGATTTTTAAATAATTTTAAATATATTTTATATTTCGAAAGATTTATTAGTATTACTTATTTGATTACTTTTCACTTTACATAATATTTATTACTTAATATGATGCAACATTATAATTTTAATAAAGTGCAAAGTAACAAATAGTGAAAATAAGTAAACAGGATATTTCATTTAAGGTGTTACAAATCAATAACTCAGAAAATATACTTCTAATAAAAGAATTAATAAGAATAAAAGCTTAATATTTCTGAGGGATCTTTTTAATGTTTAAAAATAAAGCCCCCATTCCATCTTTTGGGTGGGGTGGAAACAACTTTGAAATTTCAAATTTTTTAATATATTTTGTTTTATCTAATTAAAAAATAATGAACTTCTATTGATAACAATTTTCAAAAAAATAATAATTTCAAAAGCTTGAGTATGTGTAATCATGCATTTTGAAAAATAACATTCTGGGATTCACACAACTGACCATATTCAAGATATGAAGCAAAGAATAAGCAATGTATATGATAAAATATCACCAGAAATGCTGCATCTGTTTGTTACTTGATTACGGAAATGTTTACAGGAAAATGAACATCTGTTTGAATGTTTGTTATATAACTGAAGAAATAAAGGAATAGAAATGAATTAGCTCATAAAAGCATTTGAATTTTTATTATTAAAGAAGTTATCTTTCAAAGTGTTTAAATACATATTCTCATACATTTTGAAATTATCATTTATTTATTATTATTTAATGTTTATTTTTTAATAGAGAATGCAAAAATATAAAACAAAATTGAGGGATTCTATTTGAAATTCTGAAATTTTTCCCATTCCATCCAGAACAGGTGATAGGGAGTGTTTATTCTTACAGCATTAAAAAGGCCCCTCAGAAATATTAAACTTTTATTCTTATCAATTCTTTTATTAGAAACATATTTTCGGATTTATTGACTTACAACACCTTATATGAAATATAAGGTGTTGTAAGTCAATAAATCCGATAATATTCCAATTGTTCTTTCTCCTAAAATATAATCATAAAAATTCTACAAGTGTATTTAAATTATGAAAATTTAGATTAAAAAAATTATAAAATGTAAATTTATATAATGAAAACAAAAAAAACATTTAATGAATTTTAAATACTGTAAATAATATAGACTTACCACGAGGATCTACCTCTCTAGCAACTTTAAGTGCATCAGAAGTAGCTATGTCCTGAGTTGCAGAAGATACAGCCAAAATTAATGTATGATCAGACTCAACAAAATCTCTCACCATTTTATGTATGATTTCATCTATGTTGGATGGTTGATCACCAACAGGCACTTTCGTTAAACCAGGTAAATCCACTAATGTCAGATTTACAACTGTGATATAAAAAAATAGCTTTCAAAATTAAAATATTAAACATTAAAAGAAAATGGCAATAATTGTATCAAAATGTTACTAAAATTCTTAAATATTTTGAAATTCATTGATTGATTGAAAAATGCAGTAAACTCCATTTTACAATCACTCACTTTTATGACAGATATATTTTTCTTTTATGACTGTATTATTACCATTAAAGTAACTATCAGTTGCTCTCACTGAACACAGTGATTTTTATAACATCACTAACATCAAGTAATATGGTGTTTGACTAGTACTCTATCCAGAGACAAGGAAGACTAGGTTTTTGTTATAACATACCAGGAGATTCAATGCTCTAGATGTCCATGGCAGACTTTATATCATATAAATGCAGAAAACATACTGGTGTTCCTATTAAGATTATCAAACAATAAACCAAAGTTTGTCTTATAACTAAGTCTGTTTTAATCAAGAGACAAAGTTCAGTTGGCAAAAGAAATTTTTATTTGCTATGCATTTCGGGATTAAAACATCTCCCTCTTCAGGCAGGAATACTGCAGTTCTTACAAATACACCTCTCACTAATATCACAATATGCTCAGGATTCTACTGTGCTACTTTGGTAGCACAATAGAATTTATCTTACAAATCCACTACTGGCTCTTCTCAGTACATATTAGCAATGGAAATGGGATTATGAAAACTGACAACAAAAACCTATTTTGTTTGAATTTATCTTTTTAATTTCTAAAATTAAATTCATTGTAAATTAATTATTTAATTAAAGTAATGTACAGTACCATGTGGAGAATATATCTTCAAGTTAATTGGTTTAGTGGACACATTCTTCTGCTTTCCAAGTTCTCTGTCTGTTTCATCTTGAATTTCTTTACAGATTGCATTAAAATCTGTATAAACTTCATCTGGTTTATGAAGGAATAAACCATATTCTGAAAGAAGAAATAAATAAATAAACAAATGGAGCTGAATGAAATTCATAATTCTCAACTATATGTTATTTCATTTAATATCAATACTTTTATATCAAATTTTTAGTGTAAATTTTATAAATAGTTTTCCTTTAGAAATTGCAAGGACTAAAGTTATACCAATCAGCAATATAATTTGCAGAAAGCAAATTGTTAGTACATTTACATTTAACAATATTAGTTACATGTAAAAAATACTCCAAGGGAATAGAAAATATCAAACAATAACAAATTTAATTAGTGAAGAAAAACAATCTATGCAAAAGAATTATGATTTAACTTTAGATATTTATGATTATATGGAAAAATTAAGATTTTAATATTATATTCACCTGGTAGGTGAATATAATTTTCATAAATTGTGAATTTTGCAACAGGCAACATGACCCCCATGTATGATATAAACAACTGTCACAGCTTACATATTTGATTTGTCAACTCACAATGTCATCAAGCAGAGCAACTGTAAGGATAGCCAAGTGTTCCCAAGCCACCTGTCCCCCCCTAGTGAATCATATCACATGCATCTTCACAATGCATGTGATATGATTCATTAGGGTGGTCAAAACAGATCTTCATTCCTGATGGTTATTTTGCTTCTTTTATGCATCTTTTATCAAAGCAGATAATCATCCTTACAGTTGCTCTACTTGATGCAAGGCAAAATGATAGGACCATCCATATTTTCACTTCACTAAATGCCGAATTCTTAATTCATGCATTCGCTTACATAGAACCCAAGGGGAGCCTGGACATTGGGGCACTTGGGCCACGTGGCCCCCTTTTTCGTCTCAGATGCCCTTTTCCTAATCTTCTTAGGGAGTCCAAAATTCTATTATCAACAAACAACATAAAATTCATGACTTCTAGCCTATTCTGCAAATATAAAATAAACCAAAGAACGATATCTGTCCATTGACCCATGCAACTTCGTCGTATGTTAATCAAAACTTTATTCCTAAATTTCAAGGCCAAGTTAGCTCCGAGTGCAACCAGAGCCACCTTGTGGGAGATCTGATCCAAAATTGCCAACCTTACAAATAGAAAATTATCCTATTTGCCCCTTGAAATTATCGTATTTCACTTAAAAATATCGTACAGCCATCTCAATCCATCACACTTACACCCTTTATCCATAGGTATATCAACTAGGGTTCTTAAGTCAGAATCTCTTACACTTTTTATCTGAGATCTCTTCTTACAATAAATTTTTAAATCCCATTTACAATGAAGTTTTCACCCCCCTTATAATGTATGGTGCAAAAGAATTCTCTAAATGGCATAATCCAAAATTTGCGTTTTTTCATACAATTTTAACATATCGAAAATTAACAAATAATTATCGACAAATACGTAACACATTTTTTTCATTATATACCGTACTTCATACATATAAACCTTAGTTTTTCCAAATTTTTGCCACTGTCTAGAATTTTTAATCTATCCTCAAGTGCTTGCGACCTCTTAGTTTATTAAGAAACGCTGCCCTATGCCAAAAAAGGCTCAGTTCTAGACGGCTCACCAGATGGAAACCACTTTAATTAATGATGGCCTAATGGCCGAGCGGTCAAGGTGGCAGCCTACCATTCTGGGGGATCAGGGTTCGGATCCAGACGGGTCGAAAAAACCCCAGGAATTTTTCGGGGGGTGGTCCGTCCGGATATGTCGGGAACCGTCCCTTACCAGCCGACCGCCTCATTGTGGGCCTGAACGAAGCCATAATGAGCTTGCTAAAAGAGGTCCTCTTAGTGCCCACAGCGCAGAAAGAGCTTCTTAAATAATGTGTTGTTATAAAAAAATACGAAGCATTTTTTTACAGCTTGTGCCCCCATTTTTAGTCTGCAAGTGCAGCTGATAACCCTCTGTGTATTATTCATATGTACACACTTTTTAAATCCTCTTACTATTATTTTGGAGATTATAATTAACGTTTTCCTTCTACCAATCATCATGAAAGACAAAGTATTGAGAAAGACAAAGCTCTGTATCTAACTCGCTTGTTATAAGTCAAAGTAATAAACTAGTAACATATGATCGACGGACTGAAGCACCATTAGAGCATAGTGCTAGTGATTATAGTTAAAGATGGAGGTTATAGGCCTAGTAATTAACTATTTAATTGAGAGACATAATTAAATGATAAATAAAAATTGCAAAGAAGTTCAAATGTATAAAATCAAAAATTGATATAAATCTAGAATTTACCTTCATCCGAATTAATAAGTTGAATAATCAAAGGTCTTCGTGTCACAATATCTTTACCTCGGGGTATAAACTCCCTTAAATTGTTATTAAAATACAAGAATCATCAATAAGATTAAGAAAACATTTATATTTAAATTTAATTAAAGAAAACATCACATATACATGTATTTAAAATTTGAATATTTCTAAATACAGTAGAACCTCGATTATCCGGACCTCCATTATCCGGATTTTCGATTATCCGGATTGTTCAAAATAAACAAAAATTTTACGAATTTGCTGATTTGCACTTGGCGAATTATGATACTGTTTATGTACGCGATGGAATAAATAACTTTTTTTGTTTCAACAACGTCTCACCCAGCACAGTGATCGTAAACTCTTAAATATATTTTGCATCATAATAAAAATATAACTTGACATACGTATTTATAAATAATTTATATTCAAATTATTCAAATTACATCATTTCTATGACCAAGAGCGGCGTATGGGCAACGTGGGCCACCACCTATGCCTCGCGGTCCGAAGGACCTCACGCCTCGAAGGTTTATGCATTACTTAAAAGCCGCGAACGCGACGAAAAAATTTTACTCGTCATAAAACGATAAATAGTTTGTCAAATTTTTATTCATAAAAATGCAGTTTCAACTGCTTTTTATTTTATAAAATCCGTCTTCTTGCGCCACCAGAGGGCCTTTTAAACAATAGGTAGTCTGTTAGCGTTGGTCAGTAGTAGTCCAAATTCAATACGAACGTTTGTTTCTTGAAAATTTGATCACGATTTAAATACAGTATTTATTTTTAATATTACCGATATGTCATCGAAAAGAAAATGTGTTGTATTATCATTAAAAGACAAATGAAAGTATTTGTTTTGATTATCCAAATTTTTCCTTATCCGGACCGCCTTCATCCCCAACTAGTCCGGATAATCGAGGTTCTACTGTATATATATATTTAACAATTTATATATTCTAATATATTTTATAAGTAATTTAAATGTATTTAAATAGTAATTGTATAGGCCAGGAGTGACAAACCTATGGCACGCAGCACATTCGGAGAAATCATCTGGCACGTAACGTATCATATGGTTTCGATTTATCATCTGTCTTTTTCAATCATCCTTTCAGTTTATCGCCTGATCAATCAACTTATTTTTACATTAAATGTACAACTTAACATGTACAGTACAAACGTACTTGTATATGTTAAGTTTTAAGATAATGTCTATTTTGAGTATTGTTACTTCTCATTGCGTTGCAAATAAATTCCATTAGACTACTATGTGACAATGCTATCACAATATTGGTATTTTGATAGCATTGTGATAGTGATATTTCAATAAAAGTACCATATAATATTTAAACTTCCCCTCAATACTTATATAGTATCTGAAACACAACTTCGCTCGGTGGCTCATGCAAATTTGAATTAGGTGACAAATGATTCCTATATTCCAAAATAAGCTATTTAAACAAAATGTATTTTTAGGGCCGGCTCGAGAAAAAGCGGGGTCCGGTGCACAATTGTTCTGCGGGGTAGGGTTTCTCATTTCCCGGTCTTTTGCTTGTCTTAGGATTTCGGGAAAAAAGTTAACTGTTTCCCGGGATAGAATTAATTATTTTTAAGATATACAAAATATCTTGAAATCAAATAATACAATTATTTTTTTATTTTTTAAAGTAATACGTTCTGCAACCTCCAAAATCATATTAATAATGCTGTGTGAGGTATATATTAAAAATTACCTTTTAATTACGTAGAAATTTTCACAAATAGAAAAAATTTATTAAAGTTTGCCGGAAATTGCATACAACAACAACAACAAAAAATGCTTTGAATTGAGTTGAAAATTTAAAAAGAAATTAACTTAGATTAAACTTCTAACTTAAAAGATAATTTTCGTTTTTTAAATAATATATATTACAAAATAATATTGTAAATTTTTATAATAAGATTTTAAAAAGAAAAGATGGTCAACACTCCGATAACTTAATCTGATTCTTATTTTGGTAATAAAAAGCCCTGCTAACGAGAATGCCCTTTCCGATTCAATTGATGCGAGTGGAATCGTGTTTAATGTATTTAAGAGAAGACAGATGTTGTGTTTTTTCACCTGTAGCCTGGAAGATTTCTAGTTCATTTTCGAGATTGCAGTACTTCTTTTGCTCTCTAGTATTTTTGATTTGTCTACCTCGGCTGCTTTAACAGAAACATCAAGCTTATAGCCTAATAATTCGGCAGTTCGTTTGTCTTTATTAATCAGGTTTATGAAGAAAAACTTCATACTTACAGATTTCGTACTCGTTTGTATCCTTGCCCAATTTGCACAACCTGGCATTACGCAGATCGAAGCTACTGGGCATAGTTAAAAATTAAGACAACGTAAGCACAATTATTCCGGATATTACAGGTAAAGAATTTTGAGAGTCCTGCCACAAATAAGCTACGTATTGATTATTGACCATTTGTGACATGCCGTAACGAGCAAACATTTAAAAAACTAATAAGTAGGTTTAAAGTTAATAAATACAAATGTATTCCAGCAGTTTATGAGTTAATAATACATTTTATTTGCAAAATGTTCCCAACTTTAACACAAAATGAAAAAAAATAAACTTTCAAGAAATTTGCAGGATTTCCCGGGATGAAAAGAATTTCCCCGGGATATTTTCCGGATTAAAAAAACCGGGATACCGTTTGAGAAACCCTACTGCGGAGCCTTGTGCGGTCGCACCGTTCGCACCGCCCTCCGCCCGGCCCTGCTTATTTTTATGATTATTCGGACACAGTTTTGACGATTAATAATTTTAATTATTTAAAATAATCTATATAAATGTATTAAAACTTTAATTTGATGTTATATTTTTATTTTTAACTGCAATCTATATTTGATGATTTTATTAGTTCTATATCAAAAAAGTATTATCAAAAACAAATATTAATGAGAAACAAATAATAAATCAAATTTTTTTATCATATTAAAATATCCTTTTAATATAATTAGCATTAATTATAAATAAATGATGCCTACCTTCCAACGATATTTTCCAAAACACTACTTTTTCCAACACTTTGAGCACCTACAACAGCAATTTGTGGCAACTGAACAGTAAAATTTAAATTTAAGGGTGTTAAAAGGTCCTGTATGCTATTAACCAGAATGATCAAATCTTCCATTCCTTCATTCGTCGACTTACCGTTAGACATCCTAAAATTATAATAATTAGCCTACGTGTTAAATTTCTTTATTTTTCACTTTATCTTGTATAAAAATATAGGGAATGAATATAAATAAATTATATACTTGTAAAATTAACGTGTAAATAAAGAAATTTTGTAAAAATTATTTTATTGAAAAATCTTTCATTTAAAATTCATTATCAACAGCAAAATTTATTTTTCATAATTTACCTGATGCAGGAGCTTTAATCTTATATTGCGCCAAGTGTTAAAGAGTAGAATAAAGTGCCATCACTTAACGCTATTTTATGACACAGTGTGACCCAAAAATAAAGTTAAACGATTCTTCTGGCTGCTTTTATATCTCGGTTAATTGACTTTTGATCTGTACATGCTAAGTTCAAAATTAGCGCATAAACCTTATGCGAGATTTAATTCCATGCAATTGTACTGAATAAATCGGTGTTTTAAATAATATAATTTAAAATATTGATAACATTTCTAAAAATAAATAAATTAATGGCTCTGAGATTAAAAGTAAATTGTTATAATTTATATTTTATGAAGGCTAAAGGAATTGTTTGTGAAGAGATTAATTACGATTTGCTACAACTTTTAAATTAAAAAAAATTAAATTAAAGTTTCTACTTTTATTTCTATATCGTAAATAATAATTTTAAAGCAAATACTCGTATATTCTCACCTGTTACTTTTTGTAAGAGACGTGTTAAAAGAATTAAGGAAGGAGATCTGATTGTTTCTGAGCAATGATTTAATGTATAATTGTATAACAGTTTATTATAGATAAAAGAAAATATATGATAAAATGATATAAAAAAGATAATAGACTTTTCAACAGATTCAGCTAGATTAATTTAAAATACTGCAGCATATAGAAACAGGTCGAGTTTCCCTCAGATGGGACTGGGTCGAGTCCTGTTGAAAGCCCATTTATTGATTCTTTCAATCAAACCTCGATCAAAACCTCGATCGATTCTTTCAATCAAACCTTCTTTCAATAGTTTACTCATAAATAGCATCCTGTTCTGATAAAGCGCCAATGACTCGTGAATAGAGTTTACGTCTCTAAATATAAGAGAATCTCTCGGTATCTGTACAGTACTAAGTGTTTTTGCATTACCAACGACCCTAACGTCATTTTATGGAAGTTTGACCAAAATATTGACACTAAATCGCGTGTAGAGCTAAGCGAAATATCACAAACAATAAGAATTATACATGTACTGTATTAATTAAAATGAAGTCTATACATAAGTTTGAGACTGAGTGATTAAAAGTCATAATTTGCTGATAAAAATATGGTTTGCACTGCAAAATCATATATTTTATACTTTACAAAGGATTCTCTATTTAATATTTATGGGGAAGATCCATTCACGAGTATGCGTTGGCGCTTCATCAGTATAAAGCTATTTAGGAGAGTATATCGCGTTAGATTTTACTTCGGTTTATGCCATATTCGATTCAGTGCTAATATCAAAAGTGAGCTGTTATTGGCTCTAAATCGAAATTTAACTGACAAAAGAGTGTAAAGAAACAACAGCAACTATTTTTATTAAGAAACTTTTTTAAATATAAATTTATTAGAGATTGGCAAACAGCGGCGGCCTTATCCATTGCGAGGCTCTGGGCGGCAGATCTTTGCGAGGCCCTGGGCAGCAGATCTTTGCGAGGCCCTTGTCCTTTGTGCAAAGTATGTGAATTGAAATAGTAGGCACTTATTAATATTAATATATACTGTACTATAAATTAAATTTATTTTATTGTTATAACTAATAGCCAAGGATAAAATAAAAAGTTTTAAATATCAACTTTTTTCTACTTGGTTGTTGCGCGAGGCCCCTCCAAGAGCGAGGCCCCGGGCGATTGCCCTGCTCGCCACCCCCTAAGGCCGCCACTG